TTGTCATTTTACTTTATGAAAATGGCAATTCATAAGGTATGCATTAGGAAAGCTTGGGTTGCCCACATGGCACTTTGCTCTTTACTTATCATTGTGTTCTGATGCTTACCTGGCTAGTGACGCCTGTGTGATCTTAAATCTCTGGCTTTTCAATTTTCCCCCGGACAAGACTCTTTCTCTAGTATGTTGTTAGTGATTTTCTTGATCCAGGTTTGATTACTTTTCTGGCTCAATTGAGTCCATAACTGTACTGATTAACATAACTCAAAATTGGTGAAAGAAAGTCACAAGGAAATGCCATATTTATTGCACAATATCTAGAACATCTTGCTGAGAAAAGAAAAAGGAAATATTGAATGGGTAGGGCATGCTTGCTTTTGAATTCCTTTTCTTAGAAACCAATCTTTTTTGCCTATGGCCTTGGCAGCTGAGAGCTAATACATAAGGGCACACTGGGCAGCCAAGGGCTTTTTTAATTGGACTTTTGACATTGGGGTCATTTCACAATTTCTATTCATGGCTTCCTTCTGGCTCAATATGAACATAGTCTTAGAATGAATATTAACTGAGTAATTCAAGTACATAGTAGACATTGACTTAGGTTCTCTAAGCAAACATATATGAAAATCAGAAGCAATCCACTCCCTCATACACGCAAGATATGAATGCAAGTTTATGTCATGAAAGAAAATTATTAATTATGCCAATACTCTACTTGCTTTCTTTAGAAGGACATCTATCTGTGCCTAAGTCCTCATATACCCATTTCAGGCAGTGAATAGAAGAAAAGAGCATTACAAAAATGAGTAGTGCCAAATACAATCAGTCAGTTACATTTGTGAACACCAGTCAACAAAGAAGCAAAGAACCTTGAAGACTGATTCACTTTCATAAGGCCTGGTCTTTGCCTTTTTTTATCTCTAGTCATTCAAGCTCTTTCTAGTGTGCTGGTTGACTACTCAACTACTGGCTTCTTTTTCTTCCTAGCTCAATCAATACTTCATTGTTAGTCATATCAGTACAAATACATTCAATACCCTCTCCTCACCTCAGCAATTCTCTTGACCTTTTGATATTAGACTGCACCATCTTGACATGTATTTACTTGAGTAAAGAAAACAATCTAATGTCTAATCTCATCTAGGTATTACTTACTGCTGTGGATCTTTTATTCATTTTTATTTTCACATTAACCAAAATTTTCCTCTCTTTTAAATCTCCCAAACTCCTAACCACTTTCCTTACTGTCAGTTGAGAACCCCATCCTCCACCTCACTGGAAAATTAAGACCACTTAATTTCAGCTTCTCTACCTTATATTTCAAAGTATGTTTCATATTTACTTATCTTCTCTTCCTTTTCTCCTGCCTCAGGAAAACTGGTGCAATTTTTATAGGTCTACTTCTTTTGGCTGTGATTCTGATCCTACTGGAACTTGCTCCATCAATTTATTCCCACACCTTTGGTGTGTTTCAGCTCTTTCTCACCACTGGCCTTTTACTTTTAAGCTGCAAATCTCTATTCTAAAAATACCTTCCTGTGATTCTGGTTGTCCCTGTAGTCATAGACACCATTCCGTAGGTTTCCTTACCTCCTCTTCTAAAATCTCAAATGAGTGGTGTTGCTTCCAGTTCCTCACACATTACTTACTTCTTAACCACTTGGACTGCATCTCAGTGATAATGAATCCCTATGCTCAAAAATCTCCTCCCTGTTTCCATCTTAATGCAAGCTTCTGTAGCATTTATGCTTTTGATTCCACTTGCTTCTTCTAATTATTTCTTCCCATGGCTCCCATGACCCTCTATTCTCTTCTCCTTGATACTCTGTATTTTTCCTAGTTCCTTTTGCTTTACCAGCCCCTGAAAAATAGGGCATACTTGAATTCTCTTCTAATTTCAGCTTGGTTTCTTATCTTGGTTTATAATGTAGGGGAGGAAGACATTTCCTCTACCCACTCTGGGTCCTTCTAGCTAGACAATGAATTAAATTCACATGAGACAGAATAACAGGAGAAAATCCAACAAAGCATTATAACATGTACACATGGGAGAGACCCAAAAAAACTGAGCAACTCGCCAAAATGGCGGAAGCTCTCACCTTAAATACCATCCACAGCTAAAGACAGAGGAGGATTTTGGGGGTGGAGGAAGTCAGTTATGGGAGGTTACTAGAAAAGTACAGTAAACAAGAGTAAGGGTATTATGCAGATTTAAGTCCTTGTCTTCCACACTGATAAGAGTTTCTAGAGATAAGGCATTCCCCCTTCTCCCTGGTACAGAGAGGGTCACACCTTTACAGATGGAGATTTCCTTTACAAATGTAAATTTCTCTTAACAAAGGGTAACTTCTACTTTTCAGAGTTTCTCTCATGTCTGCAGTTTTTAAAAGTGAGCAGCCCAAAATAAGCCTCATGCCAAAGAGATGTATCTTGAGGTGGCCAATTCCAGTCCCCTGCAATAGCATGGCTAACTTTCAATCACCCAGGCATATTCTATTTATTCATTTCCCTGATTTCTTGTGTTTCTCATGTTTTAATGACAAGTCTGTCTTTCAATGACTGAGAAGCTCAGCATCATCTTCCTAGTTGAGGTCATCATAATGTGTGTTGTAGGGGAGGAAGACATTTCCTGTACCCACTCTGGGTCCTTCTGGCTGGACAATGAATTAAATTCACATAAGACAGAATAACAGGAGAAAATTAAACAAAGCTTTATAATATGTATACATGGGAGAGACCCAGAAAAACGAGTAACTCAGCCAACTGGCTGAGGCTGCCTGTCTAAGTATCTTCAGCTACAGACAAGGAGGACCTTTGGGGCAGTGGTTTGAGTCTTCAAACGGGAGGAAGGCAACCCACATGGAAATGGAAAGGCAGATGTTTGGTAAATAGAACTTTGATAAGAGTGGGCTTAGCAAGGATCCTCCCAGTCTACTGAACCCAAAGTTATCTATAGTGATGATCTGTCCTGGGGACAGGCCTTTATTTTAAATTTCTTTTAGGCAGCTAGAGGGGAATGGTCGAACGTTCTTGCTGAGTCTGAGCCTTTATTGTCTTCAGCTCAAAACAATCTGCATACCAGAGTGGCACATCTTGGGGTGGCCTGCGCTGAATCCTGTAACTGTCTTAAATTACCATATTAACATGATGTAACAGCTTCTTTTACTATGTTACCTGAGATATTGTCATCAAGTCATAAAATACAAAGAATTTCACAATCCCTCCTTCTTTAAAATTTCTAATATCTTCCCTTATTTCCAGTGAATTATGTCACACTACATAATTGAAATTTAAAGGCATCTATGATCTTACTCCATCAAACCTCTGCAGTGATAACTCATACCCTAAACCAGCTTTGTTTCTGTTCATTCCCTCAAGTGGATTCTGACTCCTAGTGACCCTAGGAGAACCTGCCCAACCATTTTAGGCCATCCTCTCACCTTCCAGCACTATATCAGGCAAGGCTGCTGCTATTCATAAAGTTTCCATGGCCAGTTTTTTGGAAGTGGGAGGCCAGGCCATTCTTCCTACTCTTTCTTCATCTGGAAGCTCTGCTGAAATCTATCCACCATGGATGACCCTGCTGATATTTGAAATACCAGTGGCATAGCTTTCACCATCACAGCAACATGCAGCTGCCACAATATGACAAGTGACAGATGGGTGGTAGGGTTCCCTGACCAGGAAATGAACCTACATTGTGGCAGTGAGTGCTGAAACTTAGCCACTAGTCCCTGAAGGCTGGCTCTATACCCTCTATGTATCCTAAAATACAGAACCTATCAAACTTGGTATTTTGTTCTTTGAGCTCCTGTATTTCCTTCAGCCAAAATACTTCATTCCTAGTTAATTGTCCCTAAAAATTCTACTCATTCTTTTAAAGTCCAACTAAAATAGCAGCTCCTTTATCACCAGCTGACCCTGCCCATACTCAACACCAATACCCCAGTCCTCTAATCCAGGCATAGTTAAATTCTGCATATTTAAGGCCAAATGCTACATTGCTAGCTAAATTTTATAACAAAATCTCAGAGGGTTAAAACTTAGGTGCTGCATATGATCAAATAGAAACACATATGTAGTCTGGTTTTAAAAGGAATTTTGCTATTAACAAACAATATGGTTTTAAGCAAGTTACATAACCTTTTGATGTCTCAATTTCTTCAAACAAAATATGGAGAGGAGAGGTACCTCATGACACTTTTGTGAAGATTATACAAAATACTGTCTGTAAAGTGCGCAGTGCGTGGCATAGGGTTGATACTAAATTAAAAAAAGACTTATAATTATTATGCCTGAAATAGAAGCTAATCAATATTTATCAGGTTAATAACACTCCATGACATTCTGCAAAACCTCTATAACAGATTTACCAAGGATTTTGCCTCTACCAGCCTACCAGGTTACTTTTCTGAGATGTTTCATTGCAGAGGAAGGTTTATTCTTCTTGTGTACAAAATACTGGTTTGAAGTGAATGATTTATTTGTCTTAAATCAAATGGCCCTGGGAACTAAGCAGTTTGCCTTACCTGACTAAGCACATGGAATTGTTATCTTGTCAGTTTCTCCATTGTAGTGCAAAATAGTATCAACTGCTCAGGTTAGCATGAAAATGCGGCCTTTGTGAAGGCCCTGTGAATCTCTGGTGCTCATATGTAATTGTCCCACAATTGAAATCTTGAAGACCCACCAAGTGCTAAAGAGACCTAATTGTGTCCACAATAACTTGGGGACTGGGCCAGAGTCTCACTGTCCTTCAGTCATTGTCTTTAATTACTAGGCAATCACATTTCCTGGACAAATTTCTTGTATTAGCTTGTGAATTGCTGCCTTGTTAAAATGTTCCCCAGAATTTCTGGGGACAGATAATAGATAGAAATCATTTTCTAATTATACAGACTTCCTGGAATTGAAACTCACCATTGATTTTATTTCAAACCACAAAATTAGCATCCCATTAAATATAGTATATAAACAGCCACAAAGGCAGACCAAACCATCATCCACTTACCTACTCCTTCACTTCTTGTCCTCCACCTTGGAAAAAAGGTAAGAATTTCAGCTATAAATTTGACATATCCCCTCTTCACCTTTATATCAAACTAGGTTGAGATATATGATGAAAATAATTGCTTAAAATATAGTCTTTGATATAAGGGTATTTATGGTAGTGTTGACACTATTTTCAACACTTAGGTTAAAAAAATAGAAGTACCTATAAAGACTGGTAGAAATTATAACAACTAAATAGCTTTATGAGTTTAAGAAAACGTCGTAACGATTACTATTTTTTTAGTACAAGGCTAATTAACAGGCTATATTAAAAGATCTCTTTCTTGAATTAAATCTCTTCTAATTTGATTAAACATACCACAGCCATAAAATAAAATATATTTAAATTATTGTTTGGCAATATGAATAACTATGGGAAAGCTTTATCCAACAGGTAGTCTGTGGAGGGAACATATTGAGTCAAGAAGTTGCAGCGGTTGTATGGGAACATGTGCTACTTGCAATGTTTACAAGTGACTTGTTTAGAAGATGAGTGGATTTGGCAAACTTGTTTAGAACATCCAACTTCCCACTTCATCATTTAGTTTATAATATTTCAAAATAATATTAAAATATACACCTGAAATATAGAATTAAGTTAAAAAGAAACTGTTTTGTTCTGTAAAAAAATTCTAGATGAAATAGAGACGACCTGGGTAGAAAAAGGAAAGAGAAGATTTAAAGGAAGAGTAACTTAGAATATATTAGTTAATAATGAAGTTCTGGCTTAAAAATTGATATATAAAATACTAATTATAAAATAAAGAAAATTCAATGCCATCTTCCCTACATGTAATGATCTATAATAGAGCACTATCTTCTTTTTTTTGAGTACTGACAATAAAAAATTATTTGGAAACTTATGGAGGCCTTACATGAAGTAAAATTAATAAAGAATTATATAGCACCCATCAGAAAAATCGAGAAAAAATTTTTTTCCTTAATAAAGAGCTTTTAAATATTGGAAAGGACATTTTGCAGATGAATTAGGGACTTTTTTCCTGAAATGTTTTTAGTTCAGAAATTTGGTTTAAAAATCTGGGCTTGAAGATGATATGTCGAGGGATATTGTTATTTTTTACAAGAAATTAAAGAAATGCAACAAAATCAAGCATTTAGCACATTTTGGTCAAAGGTGTTAACGTATATTTTATGTTATGCTGCCAGAACCTGACCCTTTGGTAAGTCACCAAGAGGTCAGAGAGAAAAAATGAAGCATAGTGTATGATCTCTAAAGTTATGTGGCTCAAATGAGAAGAGACATCATTAGGTGTGTGGGGATGAAGATCAAGGAGTGGGTAGAAATGGGAAGAAACAAACCAACCAGTCCCAGACAACATCTGGATTAGCGGAACAAACAAAGGAAATGCTCAAATGAAAATCTCAGTCTTATTAGAAATTAGGAGATATGATTAAACCAAATATTCATAGAAATCATTTAGTTTAGTAATGGTAAGACAAAAATAAAATAAGATCTTCTTTTTGTATAGATCTTTTTTGATCAGTTTTCTTCCAAAACAACTGAGACTCCATCAGGGTTGAGACCTTAATATTTTATTAACTGCTGTAATCCCACCATATAAACAGTGCCTGGCAATAAAAGGTGCTAAATAAGTATTTTTGAGAAAATAAATCAATTAATAAATTTTCTGCAAATATTTATGTTTTTTCTGTCTTTCAAAAAAAAAAAACCCTATAGGACTGTGAATGAGATGAAACAGAGTGAGGTAGGGTAGAGCTGACACCTGAAAAAATCTGAATGACTGGCAAAGAAGTATGAAATTCACATGTAAGGGTAAAGAGTCATAGTAGATTCTAAATTTGTTTGTATGATAAAACTTCTGCTAGTACTTTTTTCTAAAACACAGATATTTTTGTTATATGTTTTCTTTGGTTTCTTTAAAAGGAAAGTGAAGAGACCTTACCTAAATAAGAAAATAGATTGACTAATATATTACCATTCTCTCGTTTCCGCATTCACAGGACTCAGCCATGAAGATCCTCATCCTTGCCTGCCTGGTGGCTCTCGCTCTTGCAAGGGAGGTAAGAAAATCTCTAACTAATTAAGACATAGTGGACTATCTGCCTATGTGTAGAGGATAAAATCACCAACATTTTAAATGTACAAATAAAGCAAAATTTCAACAGAATTTTTTCTGACTGCTAAGAAAATAATTTACATTCACCCTCTACTTCAACAGTGCTTTGTGCGGCCACAAACCTGGGTCAAATGCTTTCTACACCACTGTGCCACTAGTCCCTAAGGGCAAAGTAAATAAACCAATAAGCAACAGACAAAACAAGAAGGCAAATTATGAAAACCACAAAAAAGAGTAATGTTGCTCAAATACAGTTGCATTCATGTGCAACCTAGATAAATACATCTTATTCCAATGATGAAATATAGGTATCTTTTACCCTAGGGCACTGGGCCGTATTCTACCTGTGTCTATCCAAAGACATCCAGAGGGTGGAGTATGAGGCAGTCATCATAATCATAAACATATTCACATGCAATAAAAGTGTTTAATGCAAATTAAAATATCTTCTTTTCTGTTACTCATCAAAAACTGTTCTTCATGCAGGTAAAACAAAAATGTATCTATAAAAACTTGCTAAATATAAAAAACATAAAAACACTTACCTTTCAAATCTCTCAAAAGACATATTTTTCTGAAGTTTGTGAGAGTTGTGCATAAAGAAAATGAAAATTAAGTAGGAAAAATGTTTCATAAAGAACTAGCTATAGAAACTAAAATGATATTTTTGTTCTTTATAGAAGGAAGAGCTCAATGTATCCAGTGAGGTAAGATATTTTTATTCAGAGAAAATTTTCCAGCCATAAAATAGTAACATTCTCCAATGACCTAGGAGAAGGTGGTTGTTGACTTTTTCTTTTTCGTTTTTTCTTTACAGACTGTAGAAAGCCTTTCAAGCAATGAACCAGATTCAAGCAGTGAGGTAAGATTGTGTTTATTTGGAGGCAATTTCTTAGTTTTGGAAGAGTAAAATGCTGTGCTGTCTTTCTATTGTGTTACATTAGGGCAGTGATGCCAATGCAGCTATGTCCTGACATATAAATTCCGATGTAAACTGCCATTATATCTGTTTAAAGACAGAACAAATGTCTAGAGGATTCAGTATTCTAGCACTTTCTAAGTTGGCTTGTGACGTGAAATTGTGTCACTGTACCCTCTTTTTTTAAAATGAACGGTACAGTTCTGTTTTCTCTCTTGAGCTCTCTCTGCACTGACCTCATTCATTGTTTTGACATTTAATAAGTGCCTTCTGTGCATCAGACATTGACTAGGAGCTGTGGTACAAACTGAAAAGAGAGATGCCCATAGTATAGAGCTTGCAAAGTAGTGGGTGGGTAGACATGCAAATAGTGCATTTTGCAATTACAATAGTCACTTTGGTAAATAACAGGCAGTGAAACAGAGTAGTCCTAAATCTGCCTGGAGAGTCAGGTAGATATTTACCCTTCATCATTCTTTTTGGATCTGTCATCACCTGTTAGTTAAATGGTACGTTAGTATACCTTGTCTCTTCACAAAGGTAATCAGATTCTTAGGAGAGGTATTTTTTTCTTATAATTCATTTGAATTTTAAATGTAACAAGCAAATTGAGAATTATTAAAAGGATGTATCAAGGGTTATTATAAGGTATTATCAATGAATATTATTCTCTGAGAATCAGATGGGATATTAGAGATCATTTGTTGTCATAGGAAGGGAGTATGGTAATAGAGAGAAATTAACATCTATTAAATGCTCCTTTTTGTATTATGTTTACCAGTTGTCTTCTCTCTCTTGACTGCATTCATCTGTGTTTCTTTTATACAAGAGGCTTATACAGTACCTATTAGTTTCAGCAATTATCCTGAGTTTTTAATGATGTTATCAAACAAGGTGTCTGCATTAACACATTAAATGCCTTCATTTAATAAGAACTGTTAAATAAGAATTGACAAATAAGAATTGTTCATTAAGGGGCCGGCCAGGGGACAAGAGGTGAAGTTCGCACTCTCGGCGGCTTTGGAGGCCCAGGGTTTCACCAATTCGAGCCTGAGTGCAGACATCACACAGCTCATCAAGCCATGCTGAGGCAGCATCCCACATAGCAGAACCAGAAGGACCTACAACTAGAATATACAACTATGTACTGGGGGTATTTGGGGAGAAGAAGAAGGAAGAAAAAAAGAAGACTGGCAACAGATGTTAGCTCAGGTGCCAATCTTTAGAGAAAAAAAAGAAAAGAATTGTTCATTAAAACTAAACCTCATTTTATTTTTACTTTTCTGAAGGAATCAATTACACACATCAACAAGGTAAAATCTTTGTATTAAGAGTACATGTTTTCAAAGTTTCCTACATTTAAATTTTACAGATGATAACATTTCTTTATATGTGATTTTTTCTTTAGGAGAAACTTCAGAAGTTTAAACATGAGGGACAGCAGCAAAGAGAGGTAATTTGTTCATGATGAGTACATTTCTAAAATTATTATGAAATACAACACAGAAAAATATATGTATACGTTCAGTCTGAAGAATGGTAATAACATAGATGACAGTGTAAGAAATTATTTATATATATAAAAATATGTTTTTGACATAAACGCATTTTTTAACCTCATAATCAACTTCCAGATTATAGAATAAATACCTAACAATAACTGTTGATTTATTCATTTTACCAATGGTATGCCTGTTTTCAATAAACATTAATAGAAACATTTCTAAGTTGTGGACTAGGTTCCTCTTATTCTCAAGACGGATATGCCGATGAAAGACAATAGAGAAGTAAATGGCACAAATCCGAATTTGATAATTTATCAGCTGTGTAACCTTGCCCCAAGTCTCTGTGTATTTCAATTTCTTCATCTGTAAATGGAAAATATTCATAACCCACATAGGATTAATGAGCTGACGCACAGTGAATACTCAAAGATTTCACATTAACATTTGCTAGGATTTCTATCAACATTTATGAATACACGAAGTTCTTAAAAGTATTTCCATTCCACAGCTGAGAGACATGAGGTACAAAACAATTGAATATACAGTTGTGTGACAATATCACAGAGTTATTAAGTAGCAGAGCTTGTTTAAAAATAAGGATATTCTTGGACAACATAAAATTGCTTATTTAATTAAATTACTTGTGATAAAATACTTATCTAACTTGAATATTTCAGCTTCTCTGTTTTATCAATGAAGTTGAATTGTTTGGTACCTACATCAAATATTTTCTAAGTCCAAATGAACTTACAAATTGATACCTCTTGAAAGACTCAAAATAACTACCTCTTCCAAGGGAAGTAGTAATAGAAGTTGGCCGGGTTTAAGTAACTTCTTGAATTAAACCACAAATTCAGACTTATTTTTCATTAAAATGAAAATGAACCTTGGAGTTATCCCTCTAAGTCCTTTTAAACAGATTTCCCTTCATTATATAAAAATGGTTTGGTGTATTATCAACACGTTATGGTGAAAATCCATGCCTTCTAGAAGACGATAGTACAGCTATGCAGGCAACTCAGGAAAAGGTGTAACAAGTCTTGAAATGCCCAAACATTGATTTCAGTTTGGTTTGTGGATTCACCTATGAAGGGAGTGGGTTAAGGAGAAATCCATCTATGAGCATTTTACTTAGTAGCCTTCACATGACCCAAAATAATTCCTTAAGCAAGATAAGTAAAAGATTATCTTTCTCTCTTTTCACTCAATTATGATTGTTCAGAAGAGGGGAAGTTAATTCATCATGAATGACAATTATAGCTAAATCATGGACTCAAAGATTCTTTTTTCTTTTTTCCAGGTTGAACGCCAGGATAAAATCAGCCGCTTTGTCCAGCCACAGCCTGTAGTCTATCCTTATGCTGAGCCAGTCCCTTACGCTGTCGTTCCACAAAGCATCCTGCCTCTGGCTCAGCCTCCTATACTGCCTTTCCTTCAGCCCGAAATAATGGAAGTCTCCCAAGCTAAGGAGACCATCCTTCCTAAGCGCAAAGTGATGCCCTTCCTCAAATCTCCAATAGTGCCCTTTTCTGAACGCCAAATCTTGAATCCCACTAATGGTGAAAATCTGCGCCTTCCTGTGCATCTGATCCAGCCTTTCATGCACCAGGTCCCCCAGTCTCTTCTTCAGACTCTGATGCTTCCTTCTCAGCCTGTGCTATCTCCTCCTCAGTCTAAAGTCGCACCTTTTCCTCAGCCTGTGGTGCCCTACCCTCAGAGAGATACACCTGTCCAAGCTTTTCTGCTGTACCAGGACCCTCGACTTGGCCCCACTGGGGAGTTAGACCCTGCGACTCAACCAATTGTTGCAGTTCACAACCCCGTTATTGTAAGTCCAAATTTACTAACTCTGCTATTTCACTCAAGATGTGTACATGATATTAGAATAAGTAAATAATAGTTCTAGAATGAAAGAGCAAATGAATAGTGAGTAGATCCAAAATGCACATAGTTTAGATCAGTGATTCTCAACAACTAGCTACACAATAAAATAAGCTGGAGAACTTTAATTTTTTTTTCAAAATCCCAACATCGAAGACTACGCACAGAGATTCTGATATAATTGTTCTGATTTTCTGTGTAGAGGAAACTGAGCATTGGGAAGAAATGATTTCTGAAATTCTGATTTAATAGGTCTGTTGAGAATTTAGATAAAGAGGATTAAGGCTTACTAAAGCCAGAATTAAATTTAATAATCTAATTGGGCTTGAAATAAGGAAGGTTTATTATTTTCTACACTTTTGAAGTGTTCCTTGTGTACTTCTATTCCCCACACGCCGTATTCACATCTTCTTGTTTTTTTTTTGAGGAAGATTAGCCCTGACCTAACATCTGCTGCCAATCCTCCGCTTTTAGCTGAGGAAGACTGGCCCTGAGCTAACGTCTGTACCCATCTTCCTCTACTTTATATGTGGGACGCCTGCGATAGCATGGCTTGCCCCACGGTGCCGTGTCCGCACCTGGGATCTGAACCAGGGAACCCAGGGCTGACCAAGTGGAATGTGCACACTTAACCGCTGCACCATTGGGCCAGCCCCTCACATCTTCTTTTTGACACATGCGCATATCAGGGCAAATGATTGAGATGTTTATTTCATTGATCATAGAATTCTTTGGGAGAGTGCTCTTGCCAAAAAGTGAATGCGTATTTATTTATTTTGTATTTTTTTATTTTTAAGGTCTAAGAAAATTTCAAAGTTAATGTTTTGTCCTCATGTTTGGTAAGCTTCAGGAGTTGAGAGGTTAAACTGATCATTTTTGTGGTTAATACCTTTTCACATTTCATTCTCTTGGATAAGCCCAAGGTAGTGGCAAACTCCATCAGTATACCAGCTTACTTATTAATTATCAATGTGCTGTGCACATCTCTACAGTTGGCTGTTATTTACTGACCTGAAATTATGTATCTCTTGTATTTCAAATAATTTTAAATTTTAATTATGTGCTATTGACAGATTTGATTGGTTTACTTTCAAGTGCCTCTAAGCACTTTCAAGTGCTTATGCTTGAGTAGCCTCATTTTTAGGAAAAACTGAAAATAGTTTCTTCTACTTTTAAGTAATTATGTTTGATGTTTTAATATCTAAAGATCAGCTTGCATTCTCTTTTCTAACTTAGGCTTTATAAACTTTGATTGTTTTTATCTCATTTAAAATTTACATGTTGTCTTTTAATTTACTAGTCAAAATAAAATTAATTAGTTCACATATGAGGGTTAAAAATGGGAGAGAATATAGCTTTGGTATTCTTGCAAATCCCTTTGTGCTCATGATAGACTAGACGTTTCCCCAAAACAATTCTATGTGAGCTTATATTTGATCCTAGAGGAACTTTATCATGCCTCCAAGGTAGGGCACAAATTGGTGCATTTGTAATAAAATTTCTCATAGGAATTAGTCACACCAAAATTACAAATGAGGAGAGAAAAACAGCTATATTATATAACGCAACTAATTCTATATTTTTTCTCTATTTCACAGAATTGACTGCGACTGGAAATGTGGCATCTTTCCAATCTGTGTATCACTTACCAAAAATTAATAATTTTTAAATTAATCTACATGGAAAAAATGAAAATGCATTCCTTTATTTATTTTATGTATTATACAGCATTCATCTTAATTTGAATTTGACTCATAAACTCAACATTTTCCAAATTTTAATTCAACTAATACTATAGAATTTCAATTTTGATTTGGAAAAACCATAAACCTATCAAAAAAATGTATAAAAATAATTTCTAGAATTGTTCTTATTATTTTTTAAGAATCTATTTCCTAACCAGTCATTTCAATAAATTAATCCTTTAAGCATATTTAAGTTTTCCTGTCTTTATTATAATTTTTCAAACCTAATTGGCCTCTCTAATGTCAATTTAAGATGTTGTGCTAAAAATAGTCATGAGAAAAATGAAATTGAATAGAGTGCTTTGAATTGAATATGAAAGGATATCAAAAAATGGAGGAAAAGATAAAGTGATCATACACTGTATTTGCTCTAGAAAATCTTGGTTTACACCTATTCTTCCAATTAAACTATTACATCTGTGCCTTTCACTCTCAAAAGTACCTAGAATTGAACATTAAATTTTATGGTTGGCCTAGAAAGAAAAGCTTCCAGTGTGATATCTGATTCACAGCTCTGCAACATGGTAGCTAAGTGGTGCTGTGAAAGTTGCTCAATCTTTCAGAACTTCAGTTTCCACATTTACAGTCAATTCAAAGGGTTTTATTGAAGTTTTCTTGTGATTAATGCACTCTACAGTACACGATAAATGTTCCCTGTTGCTCCACTTTGTTGACTCCACTTATGCCAGAGCAGAAATAGCCAGTATCACAATCAGAATGAACTGGGTTACGTGGTTTTAGATGGTAGTGCCCAAGACAGTAAGACTTATATGAAGCTCTGATATCCTTTGTCTCTGACTGTGGAGAAACTTTTATCGTGTTTTGTTGTCCCTCTCCAACTCCCACACTTGTAGACTTGATTCCATCCCCTTGAGTTTACATAATGACTCGTTTTTAGCAATTATTCCATCTTTCCTGCATCCTCAATGTTTTCTTCACTTCAAGATGAAGTGCAAGCCAAACTTATGCTATAATCTCTCCCATCTTTAAAGAAAAAATTCCAACCTTAACAGTATACCTCCAAACCCCATCTAGGTCTTTAGGTTACTTTATGGCAACTCTCATAGAAGTATCCATACTGCTGTTTCCATTATCTCATATGCTATTGTCTTATTAACCTGCTCCCATCAAGCTTTTGTCCCTATGGAAACAATTTCTTTCAAGGTTACCAACAACTTTCATCTTGTTAATCTGTGTTCATTGTACCCGACCTGTCAGTGCTATTTGGTAGAGTTGATTATCTCCTCTTTTTTGAAATATCATACTTCTCTGCATTTGAAATCCTAAACTTGTTAATCCCTTGGTTTCTCTCTTAACTCACTAGCCGCTTCTTTGTAGTCTCCCTTCTGGCATTTCCTTTTCCAAACCTTTAAAGGTTGGAGTACCCTAGGAGTTAGCCTTGCTCTGGCTGATATTGTTTAGTTCCATGGCTTTAAGTCCATCCATAGGCTAAGAGCTTCTAAATGTATATCTCCAAACTTACTTCTTTCCTGAACTCCAAACTCATGCACTCAACTTGTTTTCTTGGCCTCCACACCTGAGTATCTAATTACTGTTTCAAACCCAGAATGGCCAAGTATAACACTTCATTTGGATCTGGTGTCTGACTTGCCTAAATTTAATTGGGCATATTTCAGTAAGAAAGACAACTGATACGGTAGTATGTAGGCAACAGACTTACTTGAATAGGCGCTTCACCAAAAGAGGCTATCTTAATAGCCAATAAACATATGAAAAGGTGATCAAAATCATTAGTCCTCAGAAAAATGCAAATTAAAGCTAGCAAAGAACGTCATGATACAATCGCCAGAATGACTAAAATGAAAAAAACTGGCAATATCGAGTTTGCAAAAACAAACAAACAGAAGGAATGCTAAGCAATGCTCATGTAAATATAAACTGGCACAAACACCTTGGAAAATTGTGTGAATCTTTGTCAGAGATAAACCAGCGGTTCCACTCTTAGGTATATAGCCAACAGAAACACATATATGAGCGCCCAGAGATACGTACCCAATGTTCTTAACAGCATAATTGTTTTTTTTGGGGGGGGAGGGCTGGGAAGATTAGCCCTGAGCTAACATCTGCTGCCAATCCTCCTCTTTTTTGGGCTGAGGAAGACTGGCCCTGAGCTAACATCTGTGCCCATCTTCCTCCACTTTATATGTGGGATGCCTACCACAGCATGGCTTGTCAAGTGGTGCTACGTCTCTACCCAGGATCCCTCAACCTGGGTGAAGAGTACTTTGTGATAATTCATTTTGATGTGTGTGCTTTTCTATATGTATGTCTGTTGCTTTAAAATTTTAAATGTAGATTACATTTAAAATCATGTGCTTCTTCTTCAGTGTCTTGCCCACCTGATTCTTTTTCTCTGTGGGTGGGGCTTTACCAACGCAGAATCACCTCTTTGCTTCTGGACTTGAATGTAATTCCATACTAAGACATAGGGTCTGTTTTCCTCAGAAGCTGTGGAATGGCTGGATAATGCTACTATGAAATGCACCAGTAGGGGTGACAGTTGAAATATGAGAAGTATGAGATGGCAGCGAACTTGAGGGTTAATTCCTGCTTCATTTTCTTCTCTGTATAGTATTCAGAGGTACAGTTCTTCTGCGCAGATGGTGCTAATGACATAATACTCACCTTAAGTTTCTGATTGCTGAAATGATTCAGAGGACTCAAATGGTTTATCCCAGCAGAACAGCTTTATTACAGACAAAGGACAAAGTACAGCAACAGCAGGAGAAGGATATGCATTAAAAGAGGTGCTTGGATCTCAGGAGCAAATTTGTCTTCCATCTGCTTTGGAACACAGGCTATGCTTTCACTCCAGGTCTTAATGATTAACGGAGGGCTTGCAAAGCACCTCAGCACCAGGAAGCTCAAAACTACTTGTTGTGAGGTTTTCTTACAATAAGCTAGTCATGTAGGCATATTTTAGCTACATCACCAATCTTAACCATGAAAACCACTCCCACTTCATCCCGCCACCTCTAGATTTCACTGAATCCTGGTGCAAACCATCTGCAATTGTTACCAAACCATCCTGACTGCCTGATACATTCTGCCCAAAGCAACTCATGGACATATGGTTATAGAAGATCATTTATCTTTAGTTACTAAATACCATAGTGTTGCCAAGGGTTAGTTACTCTGGAAACAAGCATACAGTCAACCCAGACCAGCTGAGATTAACCAATGTTACGCATAGCCTTTCTAGAGAAATCTTGTGTGCTGATAAAGCATAGCTGCTGGATATCCTCCAATTTGTAATGAAATGGCCCTTGCACTGCCTTACATCTTCCTTTACTTCCATTTACTTAGGGTGCATACGTACACATAATTGATAATTGCTTCCAAGCAAACTTCAATAAACCATCAATCCAAAAGGAGCCGAAGTTGTAGAAATTTACAAATATTACATATACACAAAGTAAATAAACTACAAGATATTGTGACAAAGTTGATATTGACTTTAATGAAATACTTCAACATGACAGAATGTATTTTCTCTAACTATTATCAACTGGATTTAAGAAATGTCTGGTTCTTTGAGAGAATCAATTTGAAATCCAATTTAAGTATACTGCAAAAATATTGAATTTTCTGCATAAATGAGTATAGTGAGTGGAATTTTGTCCAGTCAAAAGACATCTTCAAGTCCTAACCCTGCTCCTGTGAAAGTGACCTTGTTTGAAAATGGGGAGTTTGTAGATGTAATCAAGTTAATATAAGGTCACACTGGACTAGATTGGGCCCTAAAGCCAATGACTGCTGTCCTTACAAAAAAGAGGAAATTTGGAAATTTTTGGAAAAAAGGGAGGAAAGATGGCCATGTGAATGATAGCGGCTCAACACAAGGTTGACATAAGGGAAGCCATATTGTAGAAAAGAAACTATATTGTAACTTTAAATGACCTCTGACTAACTAACTCAGACATGCTCTGTAGATTTTGTGGCCCCTGCCAGCTGCTTTAAGATGACAACTTTTGTTCTTTTGAGTTCCTTAGGATGTGATGACCCCTGGGCAGAGAACCTATGCTGATACTCATCGTCAATGACAACTGAAAGATCAGGGTATAGGGCAGCTGCTCCCTTCTCTGATGCATATTCAGTAAAACAAAGGACTCTCAGGAACTGGGACCAGATGTCTGCCCCACCCACAGACCAGCCACCTCCCCAACCTGGAGACCAGCCCCCAATGTAAGTGGCCTGTAGTCTTTGTTCTGTGAGATGGTTCTTTTGGACATGAGTTGGCCATCTTCCCTCTTGCTAGGAAGCTGTAATAAAGTCTTTTCTCTCCTACCACCTTGCCTCCTGACTACTGCCATGTCTTGCAGCGGGCAGATGAGCCCACTTGGGCGGTAACATGAAGATAGAAGCAGAAACCGGAGTGATGCAGTTACAAGATGCAGCCAAAAATTAAGGAGAGCCAAGGATTGTTGGCAATCACTAGAAGCTAGGAATAGGTAAGGGAGACTCTCTAGAGCCTTCAGAGGAAGCATGGCCCTACCAACATATTGATTTCAGACTCGTAGCCTCCAGACTGAGAGAGAATGCATTTCTGCTGTTTTAAGTCCAATTTGTGGCACTTTGTTAAAGCAGTCCTGGGAAACTAATACAATGAAGCATACAGATTTTGGTTACATTTTGTTCAAAAGTTAGTTAAAATCTTTGATCAAATCATTTAACAGATGGAGAACTAAAAAGTTTCTGATTTACTGAAATTATTGAAAGTAAAGCTTACAAATGGGAAAACATTGAAATTTACTCCCCAAGGGAGAAAGTTTTTAAAAATAATCAAAGCTCAAATAAAGTATGTCATGATTCTATGTTAATGGATCTTTCACTGCTTATGGCCATAGAGCTTAATTTTTTTTTTTTTTTTGAGAATGATTAACCCTGAGATAACGTCTACTGCCAATCCTCCTCTTTTAGCTGAGGAAGACTGGCCCTGAGCTAATGTCCGTGCCCATCTTCCTCTACTTTATATATGGGACACCTACCTCAGCATGGCTCGTCCACACCCAGGAACCCTGGGTCGCCAAAGTGGAACATGCAAACTTAACCGCTGTGCCACCAGGTTCGTCCCCAAGAGCTTACATTTTTGAAGAAAAAAAAAATCTAGGATTGAATTTTTGAATTACACAATTAATGTCTTAGTTCAGGCTTCCATAACAAAATACTATAGACTGAATGGCTTCAACAACAAATATTTATTTCCCACAATTCTGGAATCTGGCCATCCAAGATCAAGGTGCCAGCAGATCTTACGTCTAGTGAAGACTTGCTTCCAGTTTTCAGATGGCTTCCTTCTTGCTGTATCCTCACATGGTAGGGGGAGCGAGAGGTCATCTCTCTTGTATCTTTTCTTATAAGAGAACTAATCCCACTCATGGAGGTTCCACCCTCATGACCTAATCGCCTCCAAAGACCCCACCTCCAAATACCATTACACCAGGGATTAGGGTTGCAACACAGGAATTTAGGGGGGAGATCAACACTCAATCTATAGCAATTAAAATGCCAGAAATTCACAAACTTGGTAGGTCTTATGCGAAATATAGGAAAGTAGGATTCCAATTATTGGAAAAAACATGAAATATATTGGAAGATATGGAAGATTTAATGTACCCCCAGCTTCAAAATGTTCTTGAAACTCTCACTGTGCCTCTTTTTTCATGATCAAATCATGATTTTTTTGTTTACTGTAGCTAATGGTTACCTTAATTTCCCACTTCTCACTTTTACTTCACTACAACAGGGATTCAACCTTGATAGGGACTGGAAGTAAGAGTAAAAACAAGAAAGTTTTTTTGTTAATGTACAGCAGAGTACAAAGACTAGTATCTTAGGGGCTGGATGTAGCCAATGAAAAGAAGGGGACTGTGCATTTTTGCATTTTAAAAAAATTAGACCATATTAAAAAATCAGGAGCTTCTACACATCAATCTACATTTCTGGTTTCTCCTGTAAGTTTCCATACCTCATCACACATGATGGGTGATAACAATCCCTGCGTGGTAACAATGGATTGGAAGGAGTAGTGGAAGGGGAAAACATTTATTCTTCAGTCACTGTCAGTATCATTTTTTTCACAACCATTTTTTTACTCATTTGAGTTATGTGTCAGGCTCTAGAAGGCAGTTTGGTAGCCATAATGAAAAGGGAAATATCAAAAATATCCACAGATAGTTATGTTTAATCCTAATGACCCATCACCTGTCCATGTCTGCAGACAAAGCATGGATGACAATCCTTTAACTTTTCCCGTGAAGAATGGACTTTTATAAAAGTCTTTCCTGACTAACTACATTTGACTGAGAACTCTAGTGGGGGGCACGGAGTAATTGAAATTGCATTTCTGACCTCAGGGAAAAATGGAAGGAGCCTGGTGTCCCTAAATCAAGTGATAGCAGGCAAATTCCCGAAGAAAAGTGATATTAAAATTTTCAGAGGTGTAGTGTAGGGAGTAATTATTGCATGAGAAATGATCAAACCAGAAGAGATCTCTGTATAAGGCTAATTATTATATTCCTAGGGAAAAATTTAATGGCAGTCCTACCAGGGTTATTTTTGATATGTAAATATAAATATATTCCTGTGAACAGATTATGTTTGGTAAGTAGAATTCTAGCTAGAGCTACCATCGGAGGGAGTGATGACTCACCCTACCTCCAATTTCTGAATAGGAATCAGTTTATGCATCTATATCCTTTGAATGAAGGGAAAGTCAAAGTTCTACAGAAAGGATCCTATTGTAACTTTCTATTTCCAGCCCGGGTCCTTGCTTCTGACCTATGAGCTTTTGGGCATTTACCTGGAGAAGGAGAGCTATATGATTTTCTTATAGACTTTTGGATCCATGCTCTGTCTTACCACTTATTACTTGGAATGGAGAATGTCCTAATGATCTGTTGTTCATGTTGGAATTCCTTTGAGTCAACTAATAACTAGTGTTACCGTCAGAGTTTGCCTCCTTTTAAGTCTAGTGATAGTCTAAACTGTTCATGCTAAATCCTTGGTTCAGACTATAGTTTGAATAGATATACTTCGAAATTGGTCTAATCGCCATATAACCTCCCCAACGTATGGAGTAAGAAGGCAAAAAACAGTGAATAGAAATTATGACTCACTGAAGGCTCAGATGATGGTTAGCACTATTTACCAATAGAATATTTTTAATTAAGGTATGTACAATTTTTTTGGACATAACATTATGGCACACTTAACAGATTGCAGTATAGTATAAACATAACTTTTTGTTTATTGATTTATTATTTTATTATTTTTTGGTGAGGAAGATTAGCCCTGAGCTAATGTCTTTGGTAATTGTCCTCTATTTTGTATGTGGGACACCTTCACAGCATGGCTTGATGAGTGGTATGTATGTTTGCGCTCAGGATCCAAACCTGCGAACACTGGGCCACCAAAGCGGAGCCTGTAAACCTAACCACTGTGCCACTGGACCCTAAACACAACTTTTATATGCATTGGGAAACCAAAAAATTTGTGTGACTAGATTTATTGCAATATTTGCTTTATTATAGTGGCCTGGAACTGAACCCACAATATATCTTAGATATACCTGTATTATCTAATCTACCTAGCTATAAACTCAGAGTATAATCAGGTGGATTGGGCCCACATAAATCCTGATGGCATAAGTAAACTGAATAACCAAGTCATTCAAATTCCCAGCGTGCCCACAACTGCCACACTGCTGTTCCTCTCGGCAGCAGACTTATGTCCTCATGGGAAATAGTCTACAAACAGCTGATTTCAAGTAAAAGATCTTGGACCCAGTTTACAATCTACCTGCCTCTGCCAGAAGTGAACATTTAAAAATTTTTTCATTAAAATATGATTGAACGTGTCGTAAGAAATTTAGTGAAAACAAAATGTTACATACACACTTAAAGACTCTTAACAGGATTATGAAACACTTCTGAATGAAATAATTACAGAAAATAGGTATTATGCATTAAAATATAATTTATTCTAAAGAAGAAAAGAATCTCAGTCACTGCTCACAATTATTTGAAATGATGACACTTACAGAAGAAGCAATTTAAAGACTTTTCAAACAAAATTCCCATATAGAAACTCAGTAAAGACTTTTATACACTCTGATTCAGTGACCTTCATACTGGCATAATACAACTGGAATTCAGACGATAAACTGTACGGGAAAATTTAACTTAAAGAAAAGGAAGATATGCTATCTAATATACAGAAGAGAACTCAGGAAGAAAGATTACCCTCAATTTGGGATTGTCCTACTCTAAAATAACAGTTGAAGCCTTGGGATAGGTTGGGTTTACACGATCGACATTGAGGAGAGAAATCAAGAATGGAATTTTCAGTCACATCTGTAAAGAGAAAAAGAAATTTATGGTTAATTATACAATTGGCCCCACGTATCTGCAGGCTCCGCACCTGCAGATTCTGCATTGAGGTTTCAATCAACTGCAGATCAAAAGGCCTATGACAACTATATTTGTACTGAACATGTACAGACCTTTTTTCTTGCCACGATTCCCTAAATAATACAGTATAGCAACTATTTATATAGCATTTACATTGTAGTAGGTATTACAAATAATCTAGAGATGATTTAAAATATACAGGAGGACGTGCATAAGTTAGATGCAAATACTATGGCATTTTATATAAAAGACTTGAGCATCTGCAGATTTTGGTATCTTCAGGGGGTCCTGGAACCAATCCCCCGCAGATACTGAGGGACGACCATATTACCTATTTTTGAGGGAAAGAGACACTCTCATGATACGATATATTTTAATTGTCATTTTCTCGTCATCGTAAGACAAAGAACGCAATGTTATTTGTGTTTTCCTGTTACTGACATACATACATTGCTCCTGATTTTTAAGTTTCAGAGACAATTTATTACTAGATAGTATTCTCTTGTACAGTAACATAGAAAATATGGAAAAACAATTAGAAAAAAAGCTTCCACATAGGTCAGAGGTTTATTGTTTTCCTTAGTTTGATCTGTTGGAAGAGAAGTTTCTACCGTTGGAAAGGGAAATCACACATGCATGCATGCACACACACACATGCACATGCACACTTAGAGAAACTGGAGCAATTAGGAGTCCAATACAGTGGAGGAAGGTAATGATAAATCTGTAGATGTTTCAGTCAGTTTGCCTGTTGACCGACAAAACTTGGTATTACTATGTAACTTGCTAAGGATTTCTATTGCAGTGGTCATAAAGACCAGGATCCCACTGTTGGGTTCACCAGAGTCTCAAAGTCACATCCTTCATAGAAAATTAGTATCATTCACACTCCTATACTTGTAGAAGAGTTAATATATTATATTAGTTAAAATTAGGTAATTTTTAAGTTGATATTTAAACATAGTATTATTCTGAAACAATTCTGAATGTCTAAGCCAATTTAATTATTATCTCAGTCCAAATGTGTCCATAAATAGCTAGAATTCAGGCAAAAAACATAACAAAAATATCTTTGTACTTAGTCCTCATATGGAAATGGGATTAATGGTTAGACAGGTAATTTCCAAACTTACCAAGGGCCATAATTGTGGAGTTTCTGAGAATTCACTTAATCCTTCTGAAGGAACAAAAATTGTTAAAATCATATGATGAAGGCAATCAGCGATAAAACTTTACTAAGTCAAGAAAAAAACTTGCTGCTACTTATTGTCTATTTTCTCCGCACTATACTTAACAAAGCTTATTACATTTAATCACCTTCAGAGTTATGAAACATAAGCATCTTTATATTATTTCAAGTAAGCAAAAAGGTCAGAACTTGAATTTAAGACTACTGGATGCCAAAATCTGTGCTCTAGTCTGCACACTGCATCCTTATGTATATCACAGGTATAACCAGAAGGAAGGCATTTAAAGACTAGTAAAAGTGCCAGGAGGATAAAGTTGAATTATATGTCAGAACTCTTAATATTTTTGATTTGAAGAGAAGTTTTTTCTCCTCATCAGATTGAATTTCACTTATAAAATGGATAGCACTGCTCACACGTTCCTGATTAATGGATTAACATTAGCCATAGATGTCAGAAAGTATTATCAATTTTCCACATCAGAAAACTCTAGTATGAGGCACTAAGCATTGATTTGCCAAGTTTATTCTAAATCTGTTTTTATGGTATGTTCTGTAAGTGATTTTCTTTTATTGCCTTTGGTAGAACACCAACATACAGTAATTTAAATAAACTTACCACCACTCTGGTATAATGTCAGTTTTTTCCGAGTTCTCAGAGGCAATGAGTTTGGCAGTGTCATGGAATGGTGAGTAAGCAACATGTTGCATGATTTGCGCAGGATGAAACCAAGCAGCATAGGGATAGACATCAAGCTGGTAGGATGGTTGGAAAGGCTAGACGGAAGGACCATTGAAAAGTAACAGTGTATGAGCAACTGCTGTTTTGAATCTCTGAAAATGAATCATTTCATTCATTTCTGATATGGCTATTAGCATCACAAAAGATAATTCCTCTGTGAAGGAAAAGGAGAAATCAAACTCCTCCATGATGGATCATGGTGAAGAAACTTTCAGAAGGGGGCCTTTTAGGGTACCTGAGGAGCAATGAATAAATCCCTTCTTTAGATCACTATTCAATATTGAACTCCAAGAACCTACATTACTAGCACAAGCCCAACTACCAGACCCCAGAATAAAGTGTAGTGTGAATTTAATTATTATATAATTTATAGATTCATGAGCATTTGGACTGGAAAGGACAATTTTTGCCATTTAGGTCTACACTTTAATTTTCCCTGAAAACAGTGACATCAAAGGAAGGGTCCCAACCCAGGGTCAATAGAGCTGGCTTTCAGAAATACCAGGAATAGAGAGAAAATGATTCTTTAATTCCTAGCCCGGTGCTTCTGCTGACCCACGGAGTTTTGGTGCCAAAACATTATTTTCCTTTCTAAAATTTTGAAATAGCTGCCTCTGTTAATCTATCATGACATTTCACTTTTTATGTTATGTATTAACGTAATTCTTTATATATTTAGATAGAAGGTATGTGTTCTTTGCTGGAATTAGAAAAAAAAAATGAAAGCATTTCAAGTTTTGCTACATTTACCTGACTATGTGAAGATTAAAAGAGGTGTAATATGTGAGATCCTTTTCTGTGAAATCATTTAGATAAAAAAATTAAGTATAATAAAATTAATCACCTCAAGGTAGAAGTAGGCCTGTTCCTTAATAGAGAGAGAGAAAAAAATTAGTTTTGTGACTTAAATCCAATTGAATATCATGATAGACTAGGTTACTACTATTAAACACTCTCATTAAGAAAAAAGTACATATATAGTTATCACCGTCTTTTTTTAGAATTACACGGAAAGTTTAGGCTAGCGTACTCTTTGGAGCTCAAATAAAGTGAATACTTTCCTTTATTTTCCTCTGATTTTGGCAAAGGAGTGATTACAGAATTTTACAATAAATTGAGAGTAAAATCTGATACCCTGTAGGAACCATTATCATAAAATTGATTGATGACCTCATTGTTTTAAATCTTGAGGAAAAGCTTCTCTCCCTAATCACATTCATATAGAGAAAACTCCGTGGTTTTCTTTACATGATTTTTTTAAAATTGGCATGACATATATAAGTTGAACCATCAATGGACCAAAGTCACTGAATTGAATGCACAGTTACTACCTTTAAAAGTGAAGACACAAAAACACAGTGCAAAAATCAGGCTATGGGAGTTTGGGGAGGAAATAAATTGATAGATCCATGTGAGAAAGCAAAGCTTAAAGAGAACATACAATTCACTCAAGGTCATGTGATTAGAAGGTGGCAGACCTAAGACTTAAAACTCAAGTTATTTCTACTGCACAGTACTATAAAGGTCAAATTTCACAGCATGAATAGCCAGTAGGAATTGTCCTGACTTAAAAGTTGACGAGAAGCTATCTTCACTCAGGGCCATAGAATTATTCATTCATTTTCCTTTTGCAACTTAGATCTAAACTTCGATAACGATGTTAGAACTAACACTGGAGAGTCCAACACTAGTCAACAGCTAAGAAATGCTATCATAGCGCTAGTTCATGATGTAAATAGTGCAATAGTTTCCAAAAAACAGTGAATGCTAACAGACAGTGTGGGGCAGTATTAAAACACACACACATACACACAACACACAGATTTACCTGATTCACTACTCTCATAGGCTTTCTCTGGAAACGAAAAGAGAACAAGAGTTAACTTTCAAGGCTGAGTAAAACTTCAAAGATGGAAGAAGCAACTTATCTGAAGTCCTTTTCATGTTAGAGATTTGGAAACTGACACTAATTTTGCCAACTGCATTACCTAGAGACAATTTCTTCTAAAACATATGGAATATCCTCAACAATCTTTATAAGATTCACTAAAAAGCAAGTAGTGGTTGGAGGGCTCCATGATTCGTATGGAATTGGCCTAGCTATTCACAATAATCTGAATCGTTATGGGAGCACATATTTCACAGTAACTTATTATTGCCTTCAAAGTGGAATCAGCAGCCCCGGGGACAGTGTGGAATCAGTGGAATGTAGAGCAGAGGAAGAATCAGTTTCTGTTATGCGTTACTGACGTACTCATTTTACAGATGAGAAAACATAGGATCAAGGAGTTTTTTGACAAAGACAGTTTCTCTCCAGATGTTTTCTTCAAAAGAAGTATCAAGTAGTATATTTCCAATATGCCTCGCTTAAGAGAGTATAATTACAACTGAGTTTGAGATCCTTAAATATTGAGAATCAAATTATAAACATAAAGATATAAAATTAAGGAATATGTTAAAAGAGAAATGAAGGTAACCATGGAGACTAACACTTCATAATGTTTATGATTATAAACGTGATGCCCACATCAGCTGAGACAGCCAGAATGGAATCGCTCCCATCCAAAGAATAGTGGTCAGTAGTTCTCATCTCTCAGATTGATTAATAGAAATCATTTCAGAAAGTTAGGAGTAAGAAATAACTGCTTGAGAAGAAAGAAATCTCTTCAATAGTGTGAAGCTATTTAAAAACAAACATATTTCAACTTCACAATATATTATTACTCTGTAATTTATTAAACAAAATCTACCACCTGGCTGTTTTCCTTCATTCTGAGAAGTTGTTCCTGCATAAAAGGAAAAACATTCTAAATTATTTAGACATCTTCTGGTACAACACATTCATTTTGCAGTGTACCAAGAGTATATCATCATCCATAAAATTCAGGATAAACTGTATTCTATGCCAGAATTACGAAAAAACATCAAAACACTTCTTATTTTCTAACTTTAGAAAATCTTCAACTAAGGCTGGACTTACTATAGTTTGGAAAAATAAAAAATTTGTAAGGTTCATACTTAAGGGGAAAATAATAGCCTACCAGTTCTCCAGGACTACCTATTTTCTGTTCATGGCTATTTATTAACCATTTATTCAAGTTGTATCTTTGGTAGATTTTAAATAAAATATTAGCAGATATAGGTGGTGGAACAAATTCTCTCTTGGAATATATTTGTATTAAAAAAAGAGGAGCACACATTATAAAAACAAAACTCATGAAGGAAATATTAAAATATTCTAGATTGAATAAATAATCTTACCTGGGCATGGATGGCTTGCTAAGGAAGAGAGAATATTTTGTTTAGTACTTTGATTTTATTAATTTATGAACAACAAACATTTGCTAGGTACCTTCATTCATTCAGGGACTACACTAAGTACTGGGGACACAGCTATGAAGTGTGATGAACACTATTATCAGGTAATTTCTTAGATCGGTAATGATGAATTCCAGTGGAGTACTGATATATTTAAATTTATTTGGACTGTACTGTATTTTAAAAACAAGCAACTTGGAAACTGAAACAAAAAGGGTAACAATGGGAGCCCAAATTAAATTCATTACTGACTTTCCTCTTCCTACACTGATAGAAGAAGAAAATGTAAAAAATGTAATTTTACTAAATTAGGATAGGCCTTTTCCCTAAAGTCCTAATTAAACCAAATTTATTTGCAGCAATTAAAAGAAAGGTTTTTATAGTCTGGGGAATGTGGGCAGGAAGAGAAGGAATGAACATTTTACTGGACTTGCAACAAGTCAGAGTCTGAGCTAGCTGAGGAGGAGATTACTTATTCAATATTCAAAATAACACCAGGAGGTGAGTATAACTATATTTCCATTTCATACATAAAGTACCAGGGCCAGAGACAATTAGATCAACCTGTCCATTCTTTCCTAGAGAGTTTTGTCAAAAGCATTCAAACATTTAGGATTCCTGATTCTTTTAGAGTCTACCTTGATTCCCTAATTGGAAAGTTTATTTGGCATATCTGTGCTTTCACAAGCGGACATATTTACGGAATCCTACCCAGGACTGAATTTGGGAAAATAAACACATGATAAATTCCTAAACATAGTGCAACATCAGGGAGGCTATAAAAGGATTTGATGTAGAACATAATGAAAGTAAATTTCTCCCTGATTAGGAATTATGGATGTTACATACAACATTAGTCTAGGCATAAATAGAAACAGTGGCTCTGATAATAAATATATAGGCAATCATATGAATAACTTGTCAATTATTATTAATGGTCAAGGCTAGACTAAATAATTTATTGAGAAAAAAGAAAACATATTTAGAAGTGGACCTGATTTAAAATTTAATGTATTTTAATTCTGCAGAATACGATTTTGTATTATAATAAACAAAATATTACCAGCTGGAGTTGGTTGTATTTGCTCAGTCTGCGAAGCTGTTCCTATTCAAAAGGAAAAATATTCTCAATTGCTTGGATACCATTCAGTCCAACGCCAGCATTTTCAGATAAAGAAGCTGGAATTCTACAATGCTCTTTCTCAGAAGTAAAGAATGAGGAACTATTAATCCTACTTTAGAGTTACTTCTACCACAAATAACTTGGGCAATTCAATTATTCCTTTTTAAAACATTAGAAAAACTACTTTCTTAACTTATTTTTAACTTAAAGTAAATTACAATGCAGTCAGATATAAATGAGCATTTGGGCAATTTTACTTACAGCATATCATATGTCAGAATGACTAAAAAAATTGAAAATCATTTCTGCTTTCTGACTGAAGATATAACGTTGGTCAAATTAAATCAGAATATTAAATGAAAATGATGATGCTTCTGATAATAGCCACATTTATTGAGATTTTACGTTGTGTTATGGATTGTATTAATTGCTTTGTATCATTGGATATTTATTATTGTTATTACCATTTTAAAATTTTGGTTATAGACTCATAGCAGATAAGTAAATTGTCTGATATCACATGCTGGTAAAAAGTAGAGCTTAGATTTAAACTCAAGTCTGGCCAAATCTATAGACAGCCATTGAAATACTATGCTATTCAGATCCCCAAGGAGACTGTGAAATACAGATATTCAACTGAAAGCATGAATTAAATACCTGGGATAAAAAAGTTAGTTTTATTTTCAGAGGGCAATCTGTAACATCTAGAGTCTGTCGGATTTCTTACTATGGATTAAAGTTTAGCAGATACTGAGAAGGAGAAATAATTTAGCAATACAACATTCTTACTCATTCCTTAGTACATTTGTCTTTGATAAACTTTTAATGAAATTTTACCAGAGTGTGTTGGTAGAGCATGTCTTCCCTTGGAATGCGCTTCTGCTAAAAATATATATATATATATAAAAGTTGTGTAAGTAAATTTTAACATATTCTGGATAATATTAATATATTTTAAATTTAGCAAACATATCTCACCTCAGTGTTAATGGGAACAACTTCCTTTAAAAAAAAAACACGCGCAGTGTTAGTTTTTTGACAATTTACATTTAAGATAAAAATACTAATCAACCAGACACCGTTGGCAAATAACTATGGTAAATTGATTTCAGCTACAAATTCCTGAATAACTGAAGCAAAATGAATAATTCGAGGTGCACCTTATATTCAAGGTTGCCTTTTCTCTTCTCACCGCTTTCACCAGGTAAGTTATTAAGAATGATGGAGGCGGATGTGAAGTATTCGCCTTTACCGAATTCACAGGAACGCTACATAATAGAATTGGTTTTATTTTAGTAACTTGGATGAGGGTCTCCTCCCAAAGTCAAAGGAAGGACCCTATCACCTTCTATGCCTGCTTTCTGTTTTTTTCTGTAGGTTAACAAGAAGCAAAGGATTCGAATATCTGATTAACTTAGAATTGGTTGATTTCTACACAGGCTATAAAATGTCTACATACTTGACTGGGAAGCATAGCTGTTAATATAATTTCAATGATAAGATTGAGTTCTACCAAAATCAGAGAAGGGCAGTATAATTAGGAAAAAAAATGTTTGAGCACCACAGAAGGCCAGATAGGATTGTTTTCCCAGAAACAATTCTGCAATTTTGTTGCTGACAAATAGTTGCTTTCTTACATCTGTTGGGTTGATATTCACAGTATGTCAAAATTAAGAGAGTGTCACATACATAATGCTTTGTACAATGAAACCTTACAGGATATGTAACATTCATGGAACAACAAGCTTTCATAACTGTTTACTATAACTAGGACTCTGAATTAACCATCAGAATCGTTTACCTCGCTTGATGAAGTGCTGCTAGATTCCTGTTGCTAAGAGAAAGAAAACCAGTGTTAATGACCTTGGGACTTTTAGAATTGAAAGGAAACTAGTTCCATACATTCGTTACTGGGTTACTTATCCCTCGTTTCAGAATTGAAACAAGTGGTATGAAAAAAATTCAGGACCACTATAATGCATTTTCCTGGAGTGTCAATTTTATTTAAAATATATTGAGGGGAGAGTATAACTTACTCGATAACTTAAAAACTTTTTTCTTAAAATAAACACAGGTATATGATTGAGTAGAATACAAAATGTATACAGACTTTGTGATAAAAATGAAACCCTTGAAAGAAGAGCCCTATTGAGCTGGGTTACCTAGAACCCTGGGTTAAGAGTTTATTCTCATCTACGCTTGGGGCTACTTTGATTCAAATAAACTGGAAACATTAAAATACAACAACCAGTTTCAAGATGGAACTAAAATTACATTAACCTTTAAAATATCTACCCTTGGAAATATTTAGGGTTTTTTTTACATCATGTATGTTTATATTTACATATGGATACAATTTCTGTTCCCAAGTACCTATTTTAAAAGATTGATTTTGATATTAAACAGACTGTGCATCCCTTAAGAGGGAGACTTGATTAACCATATATTATGGGCTAGCAGATGTGTTTTCCAGATTTTTAGACTGGGTCACAAAGCCCATTGATCCTAGGTAATTGCTGCAGTAGATTCTTTCTGCTGGAGGACTATCCTCAGCATAGAAGAGAATGAGATCACACCCTGGGATGGTAGAGGCAGAGTTTTGTTAGAGTATCATGTTCCATTTTAAATGTTCATGCACATTTTGCTTTTTACTCTTTGTTTTAATAAATAAGTAATATTTTCACTGATTATCATTTAAAAGACTTAAATTCCCTTTTTCAATTTTGCCTTTATCTAGTACAACATTGTATGTTCCTGGGTATAATTCCCCTGTTTGAGAAGTTCAATCTTGCTCAACTTGAGAAGGTAGCTTTCTTAAAATAAAACATGTAGCATATACTATATATGATATGTAAGTGTAGAGTTTATTAAAATAAAAGTGTCTTACCTCAGGGTCTTCTATGAGATATTCCTTAGGAAAAGAAAAGGAAATTAATCTTATTTTTTCATGGTGGGTACTCAAATGTAAAATGATAATTTTCAAATAAAATAGATGCCAAAGAAAGTAGAAAATTGAAGTAATAGCCAAGTGATAAAGGAAACAAAAGCCTGCCTACCTGGCCTGAACTAACCAAAAGATTCACCTCCCTAATCTGCACTCCAGAGTTTAAAAAAACTATTGTGGATTCTTATATGTTGTGGTAAATCAATGTAAATCATCTTACAATTTCCTCTAGCCAGTCTAACTTCTTTTTTTCTTTACTTGGCTTTTGGATATTAAGCAGGAACATTGGATTAAAGCTCGTGTGGTAGATAAAAGTGCACAAAGCGTTGGTTCTGTGAAATTTAAATACTCAAGCAAAATGGATTTTCTTCATCTAGGATGTTGTGTTCAGTTTCATAACCAGGGCCATGTAGACAATAGTGACATTATCCACAGAATTTAAGTTCAAAATATTAGCGCTGGTTTAGTTATCCAGCTAATTCTGGTCAACATGTGATATATCATTTTTTCTCTGAAATAGAGACATCTGTATTAATTTTGACTTAAGAGAATTATTTGTTCATTTTGGGTGGGGTATTTAAAGGAAATGTTTTTACTTGTTTCTTTTCTTTACACTGGATTTAATAGTTTTAAAACAAAGGATCTTACTTCAGTTGATTCATTGCTAGTGTCCTGCCAAGAAAAGACAATCGTTCAGGTATGAAGGATAGCTAAGGAGATATATTTTATATCATAAATTTTGAGCACCTTTGTGATCTCTTAATACCAAGTCTATTAAAAAATCTAGTAGACAATCCAGATTAAAAAAAATCATGCTTTAAGAAAGTGAATAATGAACTGTGACTATGTAACGTAACACGTTCTTGGAGTAGATATACTGCTTTATCTAACACCCTTGATGAACCATTCCTTCAGCTTTGGTAATTAGTGCAAACATTTGGCCAGTCCATAAATGCATTCATTCATTCATTCATACTAATGCCTTGTCTCCTCATAGTGACATAGTTAAGTCAATAAAATCAGTATTCTTTGGAATTTTCAGCAGAATTCAATAGTCATTGTGAATGTCTGACTGAAAAGTTCAAGGAAAGTATAAATTTCATATAAAAATTTTTTTTCTAAATTAAAACAATTTTCCTACTGCAAGAATACACATTTTTGCCACACTATTTTAAGAAAATTTTCATACCTTGTGTTCATCTTTCTGTTTTTCTTTCAGAAGTTCTCTCTGCTAAAACCAATAAAGTGTAGCTTGTAAAATACATTTTTAAAATGACAAACTTTTCAAATGATTTAAATATCATTGATATTCCTTACCCTGTTCAGTTCATTGATGTACTCCTTAGGGATAGAAAAGAAGACAGAATCATCATTAGTGAAGAGCGACACAGACAAATGGAAATCTATGAGAAAGCATACCTTACATTGTGCTGCTGCAAATTAAAACATAAATGTGTTTGTCGTGAATGCACTAATATTTCTTGCTAAGTCATTTCTAACATTGTGTCTCTTTGCTAAGCTTTCTTTGCTTAAGCTGTCAGTATGTAAATGTGTGCTTAAAAATATTTTAAAATTGGGGCCAGCCCAGTGGCATAGTGTTTAAGTTTATGGGCTCCACTTTGGTGGCCCAGGGTTCGTGGGTTCAGATCCCAGGCATAGACATACACCCTGCTCATCAGGCCATGCTGTGGTGGCATCCTACATACAAAATAGAGGAAGATTGGCACAGATGTTAGATCAAGGCCAATCTTCCTTACCAAAAAACGAAAAAAAATTTTTAATTATTTTCCACTGAATATTGTTATCTTTCACATTACTTTGGTCATAGTTCTGAGTTCTCTTGATTTCCTCTGTCTGATTCAATAAACCTACTGTCTATTTCCATAAAAAAGCAATAAAGAATTGGACAGCACAGCACTTGCTTCCCTTTGTTAACTCTACAATATATCTCATGGAGACTTTCTTACCTCTCTTGGTGTATGCTACAAAAAAAAAATTATGTTAAAAATAATTCAGACAAGTTGGGTTACCTATCAAATCTTTTAAATAGTGACCTTGAAGTAAAATTTCTATTTGACAGTTAAGTCACAAAATGATAGAAAATACAACATATTCAGGGTACTATTTAGAGACAGGGAGCACTCCATTAAAATGAACATGGAAATTATAAAGTTCTACATAGATTTTGCAAAGGAAAGCACAAGTATTTTGCAAAGAGGTAATATACAGGTGCAAATTAAAACTTAAAGCAGCTCTTTAATACTTGTATATCTGGTTTTCACATTCTTTGTGGATCCCTGGGTGAGCGAGTAAAGAAGTTTGATCAAGTCAAGTGAAAAGACACGTTACAACAAAAATTAATTTTCTCAGAAAAATACATTTGTCTTTCAAGAAGAAGTGGATAACACTTACTAGAGCAAAACTGGGAAACTTTCTTTCTTTGAGGACTTTCTGTAGAAATTAAATTGCGAATTATAAAAATCAAAAAGATACCAAAGAAAAGAAGTACGTATTTCCATTTAGACACAAATTCTCCATTTAATTAGTAAGCCATATTATGTCTTACGTAAAAGAAAAGATAATTAGTTTAGTTTTATGATCTAATTTTAAAATCTATAGGAGATATCCTATTTCATCTCTTCTTTACCGGGCCTAGAGATTTAGTAAGTCCATGTTTAATAAAATGTCAAAGGAGGAATCGAACACGCATTTAATGAAAACAGAGAATTCAACATTCATTATAGTTAACTGACAGAGAGAGTGTGTGGGGTGAGGTTGGGGGGAGTGGATAGAAAAAGCCTTACCTCTCTACTGTCCTGTTCATTCTGCAAAAAATTGAAAAAAAAAGGATATTAATTTAACTAGTGGGCAGAGTGGAAGATTATGACTCTTGTAGAAGTGTGTGGTAGAGGTATCTAATTTAAGATTCAACGTGTGAAATGAGACCAAGTTATAAATCATGTTTGAGTACAAGTGAGAGAGATAGAAAGAAGCAAGAATACATTAAAATAAACCGTGTTAACATGTTCTGTTTAGTGAACTATTTCTCTTGAATAATAATGTTTTTATTAACTATAAATATTTATATAAATCCATGTGCCCTCCTCTCTGAGAAGTGTTGTGAGAACAAACCTATATTTGCCAGTACTTGAACTGAATATATTATACCTCAGTGAGTGTGAAACTGGCTGTTTTATAGAGAAAGAAGAACCAGGGCTAGTGGCTGCGTGTTATCAGCACATCGCTTAAGTTCCACAATTAGAGCTAGCCCTTGGAACATAGACTAGAATACTCACCTGAATGATTTCTGGCTGTCTATGAGGAAGTTTCTGTGAAAAACAATGCAAGAATTGGAAAACAAAACAACAAAACAAAACAAAATCAAAATATAATAACATCACTATACACATATAATACTATGAATTTTAACATTACTATTTAAGAAAGGTGTGTATTTTAATAGCTAAATTTGTCAGAGACCAAGTTTCCCTTGGAACAAAAAGGAAAAAAAAAGAACCATAATTTTGTATTGATAAATATGAAGGCAAAAATGGTTAATTATTTCCTCTCTTTAGAGTATGGCAGAGAATTGAGAAAACTATGTAAAAAAGACTAAAAGAAAAAAAAGACATTTTGTTAGTTTGAATTAATCCAGAATAGTAAAGAAGTTATTTAGTTCTCTGAATAATTTATTTCACATGATAGTTCTAAAGGTGATTTTAAACCTTTATAAATTTTTGGAGCAAAATGTATACTTTCCTAGAAGAATGTTGTCTGGATTTTATTTTTATCATTAATTAAATTATATAAAAATTTATCTCAATCTGCATTTTGACTGTGGAGATAAGACTTAGGCTTGTTAAGTGATGGCATAAAAAAGAAAATGAATGTTTTGTTTGGAACAGGGGCATAGAATCTATTCTGGGGAAACTTTATCCATTTCAAATTGTAAAAGGACAAGATAAGAACTACTCCAACGACACATTTCTGAGGAACTTGGACCTTGGACCTTTTTTGTCGTTTATAATCTGTGATTTCTTTCTATTGGTGCTTAGGTTGCAGCATAAACAAAACGCTATTGGTTAAGAAGTTGTTTCTGGTGAGTTTGCGTCACGCAAATGGGGTTTTAGAGAATAAAATTCTCATCAATGCAAACAATAGAATATCTCAACATTTCAGAAACTTTTGCTTCTGTATGAAATAGTTTCAACTTCCAGATATCCCAGATTATTATTTGCTCTTAATTGTTTTCTGGTCAGATGATTCCCGTTTATTCCTCTCACCTTCATTAGCTTCACATCTCAAGGGAACAGAATACGTTTTTGTTTCACATAACTGTCTAAATAGTTTTTTTTGTTTTTATTTCTTGGAAGAAAGGTTATTTTAATTTATATTATGTAGTTTCACTGTCTACAGTGACCATAATAACTTGATCTCTGAATCAGCAAAATGAGCGCAGTTTTCTATGCCTTGGGAAAAAATTGGTTGACTCAAGCCATCTCAAAAGAGGATTTAACTCAAATAAAGTTCCAAAAGTAGGATTCACTGGAAAATTGGCTTTATGTTACATTAGTAAGAAAATATTGGACACTTATTATATGTCTACAAGTATGCTAATTCTCTATGAACCCAGGCAAAGAGCTTAATTTTAATTTTTGATGCCGTTATTGTGTTGTGCAATACCGTATTTATCTCTTCTTAATTTTTTTTTATTGTGAGGTGCTTGTATTTCAAGTCAGGCATTTTTTTTGGAGTTAAGGCTCTGAATGGGCTACGTAATGATGATTAAAATATGAAGCATTTCTACAGTTTCAGTGTCAAGACTCTAATAGCTAATTAGTCATTAACCAGTGATTTAAAATTATTATTCTCAGTATCTCGTATCAGATGAGATATCAGGCCATATATATCAAGAATCTAGAACTTCTAAATTCTCCTCTGTACTCACAGGCCTGGCAAGAGCAACAGCCACAAGGCAGGTAAGGATGAGAAGCTTCATGCTTGTCAAGGCCTGTATAAAAGAGGAAAAATTTCAAAAGTTAGCCTACAACAAAATTTATTCCATGAAAGAGAAAATCTTTGACTTTTCTAACAACAGAGCATACTGTGATAAAAGCAGCTTCATTTTAGAAGTAGTATTTTTATTAACCTACAATTTTTAATTTTTCTACTCAGTATAAATGTTTATTATTCTAGTTATCTTTCTTAGTGCTTATATTATTTAGAAAAACCAATTTCTTACCAATAATTTTATTCACCAACACTCTAAAACAGAACGTTTGATTCGGGAAGTGGTAATATGGTTTTGTCAGAGGAATACGGGAGCATCAATATTTAAATACAGTTAAAAAAAAATGTTTCTTCCTAGATCATCTGATTTGCTAATGTGAGTAATAAACTAAACTCCACTGAGAACTGGTGTTTAATTTCACCTGAAATATTTTGAAAATGTTTTTTTCCTTTAAGTCTATTTGAGAGCATCATGCTCTTTCAAAGTCTTCATGAAAAATGCTATCAGTGCATTATGTAGAAACTATTAACCTCCACCAATTATTTTTTAAAAGAATTTACCTATCACTTGATGTTTTGCTACATTGATATACCCATGACATGACTATATGAAGATGATTGAATTGGACAGGATTATAAAATTCAGATGTCATATCATGTTTGATTTCTAGAGTTCCAACAAATTGCAAGAACCTAGCAATACTCACAGCTACATATGCTGGGAAAATAGTTTCCAGAGAAATTAGGAAAAAATCAGCTTATAATGCAACTTGTTCATACTTTCTCGATAAACTTATATGGCCATATTTTATACATACTGCTTCAGTTTATAAACCGTAGAAGTTAAATGCATTAGTAAAGAAGGCATATTTATAAATGCAAAATAAATTTACTATTTTTATCCGTTTGTATCCTTCTAAATATCCAAATTTATCTTTACTAAAGTAGTCATTTATATCTAATTGCTTACTATTGACATACCCAAATAGATTTAATTTTGTCAACTAAACGACATGGAATAAAAATGGCCTTGAAACATTCTACCAAATGTCTTTATTATGGTAATTACAGAAATCAAAAATCATTTTGCACAACAACTCTCCAGAGAATTGGGCAAAAATAATTCAAATTATCTTACCACAAGTCTATTGAAATTATGTATCTACTTTTTCAGTATATGAGATTTTAGTTACCAAATCATAAAAATAGGATTTGGCCTTTATAAAACTATATTTCTTTTTCACCTAAACTTCTGAGATCGTATCAACATTTGCAAATGCATTTTTAAGCTATCACTATATCATAAGAAGGTATTAATATTTGCAAATAAATAGAAAAGTTACAAGTGCATCTTAATGAAGAGTGAAAGATTAGGCACTGTGAAATCATAGTAATTTTGCCATATGTAAACACAATACCTTGAACCCAAGATTGGGAAGAAGAAGCAAGCTGGGTTGATGATCAAGGTGATGGCAGTTCTCTTTCTTTCACAGCTATTTAAACCCAGTGATTAGTAAAATGTTAATTTGGTGGTTTCAATTCAACCAATAGGTTTACGTAAATTCTAAGAATCCTCCCAAATAGGAAATTAATTTTCTGTCTAATTCCTCTCCCAAGAAATTCTGAGGAGAGTTTTCAACAAAGAAATGATTCGTACTATGATAACAAGATTATACAGGAAATGGAATGACATTCTTTAAAATTAAAATACAAAAATTTCTAGATTTATAGTTATTATAGGAACATGATTTTATGCTAAATGGATAATTGGAAAGACAAATACAAGCACACCTTGTGTTATTATGCTTCATTTTATTGTGCTTCATAGATATTGTGTTTTTCACAAATTCAAGCTTTGTGGCAGCTCTGTGTCAAGTAAGTCTATTGGCACCATTTTTCCAACATCATTGGCTCACTTTGTGTTGCTGTATCAAATTTTGTTAATTCTCACAATACTTCAAACTTTTTGATTATTATTATATTTGTTTTGTATTTCAAACTTTTTGATTATTTTATCTGTTTTTGTGATCTGTGACCAGTGATCTTTGATGTTACTATTGTAATTGTTTTGGGGCACCATGAATGGTGCCATATAAGGTGACAAACTTAATCAATAAATGTCGTATGTGTTTTGACTGCTCCACTGCCGGGGCAATCCCCCATCTCTCTCCCTCTCCTCAGGCCTCCCTAATCCCTGAGACACAACAATATTGAAATTAGGCCAATTAATAAGCCTACAATGGCCACTAAGTTTTCAAGTGAAAGGAAGTGTTAGATGTTTCGCACTTTAAATCAAAAGCTAGAAACGATAAAGCTCAGTGAGGAAGGTGTATTGAAAGCCTAGATAGGCTGAAAGGTAGGCTTCTTGCACCAAACAGTTAGCCAAGTAGTGAATGCAAAGGAAAAGTTCTTGAAGGAAACCAAAAGTGCTGCTCCAGTGAACACATGAATGATAAGAAAGTGAAACAGCCTTATAGCTGACACGGAGAAAGTTTTAATAATATGGACAAAAGATCAAACCAGCCACAACATTCCCTCAAGGCAAAATTTGATCCAGAGCAAGACTCTAACTCTCTCAATTCTATAAAGGCTGAGAGAGGTGACAACACTGCAGAAGAAAAGTTTGAAGCTAGCAAACTTTCATTCATGAGATTTAAGCCAGGAAGCTGTCTTCATAACCATAACATAAAAGTGCAAAATGAAGCAGCAAGTGCTGAATGTAGAAGCTGCAGCAAGTTACTCAGAAGATCTTGCTAAGATAATTAGTGAAGGTGGCTACACTAAACAATAGATTTTCAATGTAGACGAAATAGCCTCATATGGGAAGAAGATGACATCTAGGACTTTCATAACTAGAGAGGAGAAGTCAATGCCTGTATTCAAAGTTTCAAAAGACAGGCTGATTCTCTTGTTAGGGGCTAGTGCAGCTGGTGACTTTAAGTCAAAGCCAATGCTCATTTCTCATTCTGAAAATCCTAGAGCCCTTGAGAATTATGTTAAGTCTACTCTGCCTATGTGCTATAAAGGGATCAACAAAGCCTGAATGACAGCATATCTGTTTACTACAACATGGTTTACTGAATATTTTAAGCCCAGTATTGAGACCTACTGCTCAGAAAAAAAGACTCCTTTCAAAATATTACTGCTCATTGACAATGGACCTGGTCACCCAAGAGCTCTGATGGAGGTGTACAATGAGATGAATGTTGTTTTCATGCTTGCTAACACAACATCCATTCTGCAGCCCATGGATTGAGGAGTAATTTCAACATTCAGGCCTCAATATTAAGAAATACATTTCATACAGCTATATCTGCCATAGATACTGATTCCTCTGATGGATCTGGGCAAAGTAAATTGAAAACCTTCTGGAAAGCGTTCAACATTCTAGATGCCATTAAGAACATTTATGATTCACAAGAAGAGGTCAAAATACCAATATTAATGGGAGTTTGGAAGAAGTTGATTCCAACCCTTATGGATGACTCTGAGAGGTTCAAGACTTCAGTAGAGGAGGTAACTGCAGATGTGGTGGAAATAGCAAGAAAACTAAAATTAGAAGTGGAGCCTGAAGATATGATTGAATTGCTTCAATCTCATGAAAAAATTTTAACGAATGAGGAGTTGCTTCTTATAGATGAGCAAAGAAAGTGATTTCTTGAGATGAAATCTACTCCTGGTGCAGATGCTGTAAAGATTGTTGAAATGACAACAAAGGATTTAGAATACTACATGAACTTAGTAGATAAAGCAGTGGCAGGTTTGAGAGGATTGACTCCAATTTCAAAAGAAGTTCTAGTGTGGATAAAATGCTATCAAAAGCTGTTACATGCTGAGGAGAAATTGTTCGTGAAAGGAAGAGTCAATTGATGCAGCAAACTTCATTGTTGTCATATTTTAAGAACCGCCACAGCCACTCCAACCTTCAGCAACTACCACCCTGATCAGTCAGCAGCCAGCAACATCACGGCAAGACCTTCACCAGCGAAAAGATGGCTCAACCAAGGCTCAGGTGACAGCATTTTTTAGCAACAAAGTGCTTTTTTCTTGAGGAAGATTAGCCCTGAGCTTACTGCTGCCAATCTTCCTCTTTTTGTTGAGGAAGACTGGCCCTGAGCTAACATCCATGCCCATCTTCCTCTACTTTATATGTGGGACGCCTACCACATCATGGCTTTTGCCAAGCAGTGCCATATCCACACCTGGGATCTGAACAGGAGAACCCTGGGCCGCCGAGAAGTGGAACTTGTGCACCTAACTGCTGCAACACCAGGCCAGGCCCCAAAGTATTTTTTAACTAAGGTATGTACATTGTTTATTTAGACATAATGCTATTGCACACTTAATAGACTACAGTATAGTGTAAACATAACTTTTATGTGCCCTGGGAAACCAAAAAATTTGTGTGACTTTGTTTATTGTAATATTCACTTTATTGCAGTGACCTGGGACCAAACCTGCAATATCTCTGAGGTATGCCTATATAGCAATAAAATTACTTTTATATCTTTTGAAAAATTCAGTGCCTATGAAGGAAATTCTTCGAACAAAATAGGGTCCCTGAAAATTTTCAATTTTTGTCAACATATTGACCATGAGAAGAATTCATCATTTATTTCACCTTTTAAAACTCAATTTGTCCTCTATTATTCATAATAATTTTAATTATGTAGTTTATAATAATTTTAATGTGTTTAATTTTAATAATAGTCTAAAAATAGAGATTTGAACAGGGCCTTTGGAGTACCTGTGAGCATCGGAGACTGGGGGCCGTACCGACAAGGCTTCTTGGATAAAATAATCATAAGGCTTCTCATCAAGGGGAGCAATCAGACCTCTTCATCTTCACCATAAGAGAATCTGCCTCTTAGTGAACTTGTGTATCTACAGTGGGAATTCTCATGAACTCCAAAGCCAGATTTTTCTATCTATAATCCCCTATAGATAAGGATCAATCTCTACTTTGTCTTAATTAAGTATTGAAGATATTTAGTTAGGTTTGTATTTTTTAAGTAAATCATTGTTGTTGCAAAATATAGGTGTTCACTATAGTTTGAGAAAACATGGTTTTGTGCGTTCTTTGTAGATTTATACAATGCCAAGTTGTGCAAAATTTTAGCCTGAGTTTACTTGCTTTATCTTGATACTTTGCATTTACTGTTGTCATTTGAATTTGGTCAGTTCCAACCATTAAAATGAAGCTCAAATTTGAGACTCACAGCTAGACCATTTGTAGTCAGATGGCCCTTTGCCCAATGAGTGAAGAAAAAATGAGATTATTTACTTACCATCAATTTTCTGATGCAATAAAGTCATATGTAGGGTGAACATATAATTGATCATCCAGCAATGAACATTTATGATAATGAAAGGGTCTGCTCTTAATAATTATAATAGAACAACAAACATAAGTCAGGATTATTTTAGGCAAACCCAAGGCATGGCCACTCTAGTGATTTCACAACTGGTTTTGAAAATCTAACAGAACCCCTAAACAAGTGAAAGTGGAAATAGGTCAGATAAGGCACAATTAGATGGAAAGTTTCCTTGTTTTCACCTTTTCAATATTGGAAGAATTACTTTTCTAGGATTCATACTTATTAGAAAAACTAATTAGCACAAAAATGATAGGGAACATCATCAGCAGTAGACAGAGATTTTGAAAAAAGTACTATGAGTTAAGAGGTAAACTTTACTATGCAAGGTTATGTATATTGTTGCTACATATTCTGGTCCAGACTCAAACCAACTTTGGAGGACTCATTTTGTATGAGACAGTCAATAGTTCAGAATATGACGTTTCAAAGCTAGTTTTCATAGTTCTTCTGGGAAGATTTGAGTTTTCAAGTGGTGACACTTCTAGGAAAGTGTCCTTTAATTTTATAAAAAACAGCTAGGCTTCCAGAAGGAAATATACTGAGAAATGTGAAACATATTTTTGTTTTTCTCTAGAAACCCACAAGTCATTTGGAATGTAAGAGAGGATTCACAATGGATGCTTAGTAACTGCTCTTAGGAATTGTATGAATACAACCGTGGCACCCAAAACTAAAATAGAATTCTTTTAAGGAAGTTGTTGTCTAGTATGAATATATAATAGCACTGAAATATGGAACCGATGATTAATTTCATGTTGTATTTAGAACAATGTCATTTTTGATTCTTTGGTGCTCTGTCAATAAGTCTCTGGAGATTTTAAATGAAACACATCGTCTAAGTAAAGTGAAATAGTGTAGTGGTTGCAGTGCAAAGCTTTGGGGTCAAATTGTAAGTTTAAATCCTGGCTCTCACTAACCTACTATGTAATCTTAGGAAGTTACTGGGCTTCAATGTTCCTCTCTGGTCAATAGCATCCACTTCCTATGTGATTGAGAGAAAAAAAATTAGGTCACACACTTAGAAGAGTGCCTGAAACAAAGTAAGTGCTCATTTAAGATTATCCATTATTGGAACATAATTAAAAAAAAACTC